GCCTAATCACTCTAGTCATTAGAGAGAAGGTATAGAAAAAAGGTGAAAGAGAAAAATAAGGCGCATCAATAAGAACTGATCAGATAGGTATAAAATAGGTGAGAGAGAAAAATATGAAGAGGGAATAAAACCAGGTTAGGTTTTTATTCTATAGCTGATGTGCTCGTCAAACTAGACGTTACACTTTGTAAGACGCTAAAATAATATGATATGCAATGACTTTAACTTTAGTACCAATATCAAGTTTCATTATAGTTTGAGGCCTTAAACGAATTTTTTTCGATTAAAACTACTGATTTAAGATGACTTAGAGTGATTTATCTGATTTAAATTGAGTTAAACTGATTTATCTGATTTAAAATGAGTTAGACTGATTTATCTGATTTCATTTTGACTTTTAGCTGATTTAAATCCGCTGTTTCCCCCTTGATGATATGCCATTTGGATTAGTGGGAACGTCAGCCATCGAAGGGATCATGAAAAAGAAACAAAAGCATGTCAAATCGTTGTTTGAATCTAATAACAATTATTTTCGAATGATGAAGTTCATGGCACAAACAACATCTTACAATGCAGGCTGCTACATGTCAGGATAACAATCATAAGGATCTTCAATGTCCAAAAAGAATACTTTTAACTAATCCATTGATGTACTGCAGTCGTGCGACCAAAGAATAAAAAGAGCAGTGATACTCAAAAATGTACTTTTAAAAAAGTGATGTCAATATTTTAAAACCAAAATTTCCGAAAACAAATTTCGAAACAGCTGTTCATTGTCTAACGACTTTTTTTTACGTTCATATAAGATATAATCGAAAGGTTTCTTCATTGTCCAGGAAAACAAGAAGGGGGAAAAAAGGTGAAGTTATCAATTCACTTGATTTTTAACAAAATGGTACTATTGAAGAGCTATATGTGGATGACTAGTGAAGTCTCATCAAAACTGACCCGTGGTATAGTGAGTGAACTGTTACTTCATGAATAAAAAGTTCAGCTTGTCCTCTACTCTCAGAAAAAATATAGGCCATGCGATTGGAGAATAATAGAGATGTTCAAATTCTTTTTGTCTAACGATCTACTGGGGGCTCTATACGTATATGAAGATATGGCATCACAATATTTTGAGATTAAGGCAAGGACATAGGGGTTAACAATGGTATGTTGTTGATGAAGATGTCCGATTAGAAAAATAGTCGACCTAACACAACGAAGCCATGGTATCACATATAGTATAAGAAAAACATACTACAACGGTAATGTTTGTAACATTTTGTAATCATTTATAGAATGTAACAGGTTTTACTAAGGGAGGAATGTAGGTTTAGAATCCTGAGCGCCTCATCATCTACAAGAAACTTTGGTACCTTCACCATCTTGACATTAGATTGAAAAGTAAGATCATAACTAAGAGTAAGAGGCATAATTTCAAATGGTTTATATGCAATCAAAAAAGGCTACTTTATGAAAATAGCCACTTTATACAAAGCTTGACTACAGATTTTTGGAGGCGAAATATCTGAAGCTCTAATTGATTTTCTGATATTCTGGAGTTCGATTCTTGTCGATGAGCAGTCATATAAAATTGAATTTTATGAACCATGAATAAATTCCAGGGTATAGATTCTTCCATTCAAACAAGATTGAACTCGAGAATTTCGAAAAGTCCCATTAGTTGCCAAGATACATATGCGGGTCTGTATTGGCATGCCAATGTTGATCCTAGGTGGAAGATGGATGTTCACCAACGATAAATTCATCCCGCTCCAGTCTACTCCACACTCTACCCCCCTTCGCATCTCATTGTCCTACGCTAACACTGCACACCCTAGCAGTCATTACACGTAACTCACGACCAATTACAGCAAAACGTTGCTCAATCGATCTCACCGATTTGGTTTATATTTTTATAGTAGGTAGACCCAACAAAATAAGGAAGAAACTGAAAATTGCAGCTCGAATGGATGCTTCATTCAGAAGATATATGCACTCAAAGTAAGTTAAGACGGGTCGGGTTTTTTTGTCTACTGATAATTTTCAATAAATTTTCATTTTCTCAAGAACGATACGAACTGTAACAAATCTTCTTTTAGCATTAATAGTGTAGTCAATGGGCTACGGTTTGATAGTATTGAAAGTAAGTCTCCAATATCGATAAAAAACATTTCTCCATACGATTAATCTGACTCAGAAAGCAGGACCCCAGCCTATGGGACGAATTGGTCATATCAGGGAGGTGAGTTAATGTAAATATAATCTCGTATGAAAGAGAACACCAAATTGCATCGAATGTTGTGTTCATTATTTTTTATATATTATTTTTATAAATTCAAATATTCCTACGTATTATGATAGCGCATAAATTTTTTTGCAATTCTATACAAGAACCTCTTGAATAACACATATTGCATGTGAAAAAAGCACAATAAAGGCATCCTAGATATACGTGTGCTATGTATGAAGTTGTTACACTCTGGATATGTGAAGAAGCGAATAAACATCCTTGCCATGAGTGGCGGTAAGCTACTCCACCTCGATCCAGTTTGTCATTACGATATAGCCCCCAACAGAGTCTTATTTATCGTTACAATCAGTTAATGCCGTTCGATACAGAATTTGTTTTCTTATGGTGAAGGTGAACCAATCCGAAATGAACTATATTTCCAAGATCAGTGTGAAGCTAGCACGACGGAGCTAGCACGATGAAACAGAGATTCAACTATAAGTCTTCTCAGAAGTATTGCCGGTCCATAAAAACCAGACCATTCGATGCAGAATTTAATTCTGGATCGGATGGTGATACTTTTATTCCCCAGCAATACTTAGCAAGAAATTTTACCTACACCTTTGTTTTCTTCTAAATAGGACAAGAAAAACCGGATAGAATTTTCTCAAAGTATTGATGGGGAATAAAAGTATCACCATCCGATCCAGAATTAAATTCCGCGCCGAATGGTCTGGTTTTTATGGACCGGCAATACTTCTGAGAAGACTTATAGCTGAATCTCTGTTTCATCGTGCTAGCTCCGTCGTGCAAGCTCCGTCGTGCAAGCTTCACACTGATATTTCCAAGTTAAAGTTTTTTGTCTGATTGTAACCATCTAGTGACATATGACAAGTCGGAAATAGTCTGTATGTAGAAACGAAAAACCTTTGAATCCTAAAGTTTAGATTTTCAGCTTATTCTTTGGGATTAAGTTGACTTTAATATATAGTCGAACTTGCTAGATATGCATATTTATTTTCATGAAATTTATTGGTATGTTTCCAACTTTACAGATTCAATGTATTTGTTTTGTTTTGTACACATAAAGACAAATAAAGCCAATCGTTATAAATGCTCTTTCAGGAATATTTTTATTAATTGCTGGTTCTTTATTTAAAAGAAAACAAATTCTAAATGTATTCACATTGATTGCTTCTTCAGATTCTCGTAGATGATGAACTACATGCAAGTTGATATTTCTCTTTCTACTTTAGGATTTAATTTGAAGTCGAAAAAAATCATATTCAATAAAACAACGAGGGAAGACATGAATTCTTCTCTAGAATGTTTACTTTTCAAGATTTTGATGTTTACAGAGCTTGCTAATAGAACAACTCAGGGAGCCTGTGGCAAATTTAAGATTAACTCTACAGCAGTGCATGCTCAGGGAAATCCTTTTGTGAAGGAAGAAAAAAGATGTCAATGATGAATATCGACTTTGTCGCCCCATTTCTAAGTTGTCAAATATAAATATATAACAAGTATGAGAAATTATTGGATTTGATCAAAATTGGACTACTGTTAATATGATAGTTAATATTTCATATGTTGCAAATACTGAATCAATTTTTAAATTAGATCATAGTTGCTTCCAGTCCGTCAAATGACAAATAAAAGTACTATAGATTCTATCGTTGAAATTTAGTGGCATTTTCTAACTATTGATGATAACGATTATGCAATATTATTATTAACAAGTAGACAATAATATTATTATAGAAATGTTTGACATTACTGAATTAATGCTAGCTAGATTAATGAGTATGACTTGTTAACGAGTGATTATTCTGATGCATAGCATAGATAATGGCAAGTCGATAGATATCAATTAGTATGTCGGAAAATGCACAGCAGCTGTTTTTTGATGACACATAGAAAGAAAAGTAGAGATGTTAAATATAAAAAGTGCAAAATTACTTGAACGTCTTCATTCATATTCTCTCGATGTTATTACTTGTTTGACGTAAGAAGGCATCCATACACTTTTCATGTATCATATTTTTCAAGCCTAACAATGTTTCATTAATACTTTACTTGTTACATTTTGTATAGCTTGACGAATAACAGCAGTAACACATCATTTGATCATGTGGCTTCTCTTCATATTTACATTTTTTCAATCAAGAATCTGAAAAGCTCTTAAACAAAATCATTAACAAAAATGACTCTTCATATAAATAACTAACAAAAATAAATTAAAATACAATATTTCTCTATGTACATAAATGCATGTAAACTTGCCATAACATTTGAGCAATCGTTCCAAGTATTACGTCTCATCAGAAGCGTAAATATGGGGGGGGGGGGGGAAGTGGGGGGCGGGGCCCCCCCCCCCCCCCCCCGGCCGCCGCGAGGCCCCCCTGTTTTGGTCTTTCCAATAGAAAATAAAACGTCACATCCCCGTGTTTTGAGATTTTGAGGCTATTTTTTCGATATTGGGGACCGACGCTCTCTTGCGCCCCACCCCGTGTCTTAGAGGCCTACTTACGCCCCTGTGCCTCATATAAAGGTACAAAATAAAAAAATATAATATTCTGGTTCTTACATTCAATATAACTATGCCTACGCAGGTTTCGCGCGGTCATTTGGCTTTTTACAAATAGATTAGTTCCACTCGTTTCTGTAATTATTCATTGGTGAATCTCAAATATATGAGAAAGGCACAGATGAATATGATGAAACCAAATAAGTAATGATGAGTATAAAAGGAAGAAACAAGAACTTGTTTTCTCATTTCATGTTAATTCACACTTCAGCCAATATCGATATGAAATCTATGGCAAACAAAAAACTATTCTTTTCTATACTTCTATTCATAATATTTCATTCAACTTTTGGTCGTGATTTAAATCAAGACTTTGAATTAGAAGATCAATTGATTAATGATGGCGATGTATTATTACATAACAAACTCGATGTTAGAAGTGTTCTTTGGCCAAAAATTTGCTTCAAAACATTATTAAAACGAAGTGTCAATGAATATCCGTCCGATGAAAATCAACTGCATGAACATAGTCAACATTTCTCAAAACGAAACCTACGAAAATGTTATCCATTTGACACGACATGAGAACAACTCTGGCTGTAAATGATCAATAAAATTCGTTTACTATCAATTATAAATTTGTAATTCATACTCTTTGATGACTAAATATAAAAGAAAACAGAAATTATAATTATTGAATTGATCACATTGCCAATATTTTATCAATATTATCTCATTTGAAATAGTTTTATAAAATACTAAAAATATCAGCTATGAATTCAATGTCTGAACTATCCAACTGATATAATTTATTACAAGCACAAATATAGAAAAAAAACGTTTTTCTTGCTTTCCATTCTTTTTAACTGATCATCGAAACACCAATCAGTATAGATTTTACGAATCTGTCTTTTGTTTCATTGAAGAAACTTCCATGAAAGCACTTTTGTAATGTTAACTTTCCAGTTAAATGAGTTCTATTATCGTCGTAGAAGTAATACAACTTACTCAAGTTATATAATTAGTCAGAAACATCAGAATATACTAGTACACTCAATTAATCTGTTTTAATAAACACAACAGTTTAGATCAGTGAATATTAGTTTTGTTCAATTGTTTGTACCTGATAAGTAATAAAACTTTTCGTCACTAATGCTTAAAAATAGAATAGCGAAGACGCGAAAAATATACTCTGGATCACTATCATAGTCACTGTACGATGCCATATCATGTCGTTTTAGACAGTTCAAATTTAAAAAAATGCGCATATTTTTATTAGAACTGAAAAGTGGCGACTAAAAAATTGTTGATTTCTATAAAGAAAATATCTTGACGAGCATCATCCATAGCTAACTTTAGTCATTGTGTTTTTCTATAGAATCTCGAAAGTTTCTATGGTTTGGTATGATAGATTTCAAAAATTAGTAAAAAATTGTTCAAAAAAATCTCTAAGATGAAAATTTCGTTCTATAATGCTGACGAATAGATTCAGTATATTTTCAAATTTTTATTGAAATTTTCTTTGTTGAATTCTCTTTCCACAATTATGTCTTACAGTGAAAAGCTAGTAATACAGTTGAAAAGATCGCTTTCATCAGCCTCGCTGCACGTTTTCTCATTAGACTGATGACAGAAAACATATTCTTTAAATTGAATCTTCATATGAAACTAGCTCGAATCAACACAAAAACACAACAATAACAGGGATTCTTGATATTGGTACGGATATACCACTGAGTTCTATATATTTCTCTATTCTAACGATTAGTCCCTACTGCTAATGCATTGTTAATATACGCTCTGTAAACATTTTTGATTGACTGATATATGGCTATCCACTTTAAACGTACGTCGTTGTATGTAGGATATTTTTCTACTCTAGTTATCTAAATAATCAGTAACAGACATTGCATATGTCATGAAAGAAAATAGCATTCAAAACAGCTGACAACTCTTGTTACATAATTAGATAATAGAATGACAAACACCAACAATTATCGCATTGACCTTAATACTTTAGTTGTATTCATCTATTATCAGAAAAAACAATACATTTTTATAAATTTATAAATCCTATATACCTTATTAAATAAAACATTAATCTATAAGTATTTAAAAAAATGTTCACATAAGTTCTTCAAATAAAATTTACGATCTACGAATAACATAGAGTTCTATTGAGATAAAGCACAATCTAAGAAAATGATCTTTTATGGTGAAAGGTCACTATTATTTTAGATGGAGCACCAACAAACAGACTGTATTAATAGTATTATCCATCTCTGGAATCGAAAGGCATGACAAAGGATCTAAATTAATAAATCTCAACAAACATATTGGATTGAATTGTCTCATGCACTTGAATGGATAAGCGAATAGACAAAGATAAATGTTAATCGAATGGATACAGAAGTTTGATAGCAGTTCGCATATACACGTTCATATGTAAGTAAGGTCAACAATCGTTGTCAGTGATAGAATCAGTGATGATCAGATTAGGTGAAATATTATTCAAAGTTATTACATAGATGACTTTTTTCTTTCAGTCAATAATGATGTTTGAGGAAAGTAGATTTTAACCTTTTGACAGTCTTTATACATGTACATGTCCCGTCAATAAATGAACAGATGCATGTGCGTGTGATAATAGACATTGAACTAAGACAAACTGATCCATCATGTGAAAAGAAAAGAAGATCGATGAAAGAAATTTCGCAAAATGACGTCAACAGTTTACTTAGTTTTTTTTTTATACTTGAGAATACACCTCGACGAGAGATGAAGGTTAGTTTACTCGTATGGATAGAATTGGTAGTCTTCTTTTTTTTTAGAACAAAGAAAATTCCTTGATTTACTGCTAATCATAGTTTTGAATTAGTATGATTCCAAAGAATGTTTTCTCGTGCAGATTATTTTCCTTTTTCTATTTCGATCAAAATCAAGAATACTAAAAACAAGCACCGTTCAAAGTACACATATTCTCACGTTCAGTCATTCACATCGACATATGTATGTCTCGCGGCTAGATAGAAACGATGGATGATCACTAAAACGAAGAAGAATTGGCCGTTCTCTCTCTCTCTTTCTCCTACCTGTCAATAGATGATAGTTTGAAATTGATTGTTCACTCGTTCTACTTCATACAAATTGCGCCATATATTAGCGATTAGACCACAACGAAATGTTTTCATTGTGTACATTATTTGGACGTACTCTCAAAATTGGCCAATCGAGACAACAGTCTCTTCATATTAGCTATCATTATTACTACATGCAGGTAAACGGGAAAAATAAAGAAGTCTAAGAAGCAAAGTGGCTACTCTAGCGGATACTTTGAACTATAAACTAGTAATGTTTCTAGTGCTTTTTTCTTGTTAATCAATTGACAAGTAAATAGATGTGAGCGACGATAGCTATGACGACAGGCAGCTTGTTTTTAGTCATATCTCTTATCTATATTTGCAAAACATACATATACACATCGTACAGTTATCTAATTAGGATTATGCATCTGTATAGGAAACGATCCGTATTAATCGTTGTGCTCTGATAATCATGTAGATGGTTTGTCAGCTTTACATCATCTTATGTAATGTTTTGTTTTCTATAGCTATATGATACACATACATAACACACACGTACACATACATATATACAATCGGCGATGTCACTTGCCACGAGTCAAGCCATTTTTCTTCTTTCTTTTTTTTATTCTTCTCGGTCGGTTTGTTGAATTATTTGATGTGAACTATGTCAAAAAATTGAGTGAGTTTTTAAGTAAGCGTTATAATATAACATCTCTTTTTTTCTCTCCCATTGATGATGACATGCATTTAACTTTCCTATTGAGTAGGTAAACATTATTTTTTCTTTTTTTTCAATTAACTTAACTACGTACTTAGAATACGTTCATGCAAAAGAAAGTTTCATTGACCATGACATTTCTCGTTTTCTTTCTGTTTCACTTTTCTATTCTAATATAGAAACGATTAAATCATTTTTATTGTTAGATTTCTTATATCATATTTTATATTAAATTATTGAATCAATTGTTTTATCGAAATCTCATCAATTTTTAATGGTTAGATGTTATAACAACGCGACATACTATCGTCTCCTTTCAAAACGAACGATGAGATATCAAAACATATGGTGATAATCTGATTGCGTTGGTGTGATTTATTGATTCAAAACTTTTTCACTTTGCTATTTTGACACTTTTGATAGAGTATACTTATATAAGAGAGTCATCGATATTTTATTCACAATTTATTCAGTTGATTGATGTTTGAATACTTATTTATTTCTAGTATAACTATCATCGTTATTGTATTATTTTTGATGGTCATAATCCTTGGTATGTTCATTTAGCTTAGTGAGATGATAGCTGTTTAATGGTAAGACTAAATATTTTGAATATATATGTATTGAACATAGTAGCTATAAAATGTTTAACATCTCACTTTAAAGTCATATTGAGATTTAATCTTGCTGCAGTAATGTGTTTTTCTTTTCTTTTTTTGTCTGCTTTTAAGCAATGGTCGTGTTGTACATTTATCAAAGAGAAGAATAACCTTAAGATAGAAACACTAAAGAAGGAAATACTTCAGTGAAAAGTTCGATAATTGCTACACTCTAGCAATGACCAATGGTCCATTCTTTTCTCTGCGGTCATAAATTTGATTACTTTTTTTCTTGTAGTTTGTCTAGGGAACTAAGACATGGTCACATCTACCCATTTGACAAGTGATGATGAGAAACAAAAAGAAAAGGTGATCTTTTTCTTTTTGACACTTCGATGATCCATATATTACTTATATCAGTTTCGTTGGGCAAGATTTTTTTTCACATGTCTTCTGTTGTCTTATTAATCTATAAAACATATCTATACATGTTGACATTAGTAACCAAGTGTAAAATGGTTATGATTAGTTCCATATGTGAATCCTTTTTATTGTGTATGTATAAAATTTGTCACGATAGTACCAGACGGCGATAATGAAAGATTAATCCTTTCTTAATTAGTTTTCACTGCCGTCTACATTGTGTAGAATAAAAACCTTGACACGCTGATATTTTTTCTACTACGTTATATGCAAACATCTAATCAATAGAAGATGAAATCCCACCTCCATCCATCAATTATGAATGTAGAAGATGAAGAAGAAGCAAAAATTGGTAGTTTTATTCATAGCTAAAAGTGATTATTATTCATTCTTTCATGTTCTATATGTAGAATACAGAGGAAATGCTGAGATTAATCATGCTAGGTAAACGTTCTGCTACTCTGGGATTTCTATAAGATATGATTTCATAACGTCAACAGATTTTTAATCAGCTTCTTTTATGAACAAAGTTAAATTTGCACCAAAATTAATCTATTTTGAAAAAAATAATTAAATATAACGATCAATCAACGATCACAGCACTCTGACTTACGTCTATTAAAAAGCCTGAAAAGGAAGATAACCAAAGTAATATCAAATATTTGATTTGACTTTGTGTTATGCAACAGATTAATCGCGAAAATAGATACACTCGATATAAAATGTTTAGATGTATGACAGTGGGGAATTTCACGACGAGGGATGAGACGATGTGATTTCACTTTTCTTCTTTTTAACCAATATGTAGTTCTTCTAGAAGTTTAACATCATTGAATCAAAGTTATTTTAGAATTAGTTGAACTGCATGTCAAGAATGTGTGAAAACTTTCTTAATAAAGTTTTGACATAATGCTGTCATGTTTTTTGATCGCTAAGTATTCTAAGCTGAAGCCTAATAGTTTCTTAGATGATAGACGACTGCCATTTTTACTGTACATGCGTATCCATGAGACAATGATTTTCCTTAAGCGAAAAATTCATTTTCGTATCAACGAAAAATATTTTATTGATAATTCAATGTAGATTAGGATTATCTTTGAATGAATTATTTCACTACTAGATTCTAACGGATGTAAGGAGAGAAGCTTAGGATTAAATCTGTATTGATTTTATTTTTGTCACCAATAAAATTTTAAAAAAACTCACAAAATTTGAACAGAAATTCTATTAAAAATTCACCGATCCTCACATCACTCCAATCAATGGCTTTTGCACTTGAATACTTTAAAGAAAAAGATCTCTCTAGATATACGCTAATAGTTTTTGCTTCACGAAATCGTTCATAAGTATCTTATTTAAAGATTTCATGCTTTCCATAAAGTAGAAATAAACGAGAAAACGATTGCTGTTGTTCTATTTGAGTTTCAAATAGTACATTTCACGAATGATTACTTATTCTTCCGAAAAATATTCCTTTCTTCTAAAATTTTCGATCAACTTCTGGTTTTTCGATATAAATATTTATGATCAGCACAATCTATATACGATAATCGAAAAGCCATCAATCATTGAAACGATAAAAGAAAAAAGAAGTATGTTTGTTGTTGTATGAACATCATTCTCTTTGTAGTTGCAGTCGATGCACTACAATACATTAACGATATAAAAATGACTGATTGCTATTTAGATGAACAGTTCTCGAAGATGCGTAAAACTATTGGTAAGAAATGACTGTCATATCTGTTATAACTATCTCATGACCTACTCGTTTATGTTCTCATTTTTTTAATATTATAACAAATGCTTTTTCTTCCATGAAATATTGCGCAGTCTTTTCTCTTCCATATAAGTGTAGCCTAAAACAGAAGTTTCGACCAAGTAAAACCAAACTATTTGACTAATACTAAGTTCACAATAAAAATTCTGTAATTACATATTTCTTTATTTTTCAGATCACACAAATAGAAAAGAATGGTTCATGAGATTATTAATTGAACGGATCCATAGTATACAAACCAACCATGAATATATATAAGTCATTAATGAATCCAGTAGAAGTTCCAAATTCAATTAAGTATGTTAGTTTTTTCTTCATAAATATGCTTATTTTATGAGTAGAATATTATTGATATTAATATTTTTAGATTTTATTCTCTGTCGACAAACCTAGAAATTGAACGATAGAATTTTTTTTCATTGGGACTTTTTCATGAACATATTCATGATCTGAACATGTTATAGGACAGATAGTTGACAAATTTGGACAAAAGTATAATTAAGAACCGCATATGAAGAAGACGAAAGTATTTGAAATAAAAGACAACTGATAGTAATAGTAAAAGTTGTATGTATTGTCAAGGCTTTTAGTTATGCAGATGTTTATATGAAAGAAGCAAATAAATATGATAGCTAAAAAAACAACCAAGAAAACAAGAAGGCCGATTATTCTAGGGAGAAAAGCGAGAGCGAAATATGAAGATGGAAGGAGAAAATAAATTGTGCAGCTGGTATGCCTAGAGTAGATCACTGTGGAAAGAAGTTCTTTGAATATCAGTTGTTAAAGACAAACGCACAAGTAACTATGATTTATAGCTCTATGATACTCTGATTAATTAAGATCAAGATGAAATACATGAAAAACATTTTACTGCTTAATTTAGAAGCGCCATCTCTTATAATGATTTGCATATAAATAATATAGTAAGAGATTAGGTTCTTTTTTTTCTGGCAATAAAAACTAAAAAGCCTATACTTTCATATCGGTAAGTAAACCCTATTTCGAACTAATTAAAAATTTATTTGAATTCTACAGATAAGATTATCCTTATTTTTGAATTCTAACAGATGTTAGGAAAGAATCTAAGTAGGCTCAACTCATCTATCCCTAAACAGTAGCCAACAAATATATTTATCTTTAACTTTAAAGTTTATTATTATTATTTTCGACTTGATAAACTATATTGTTAAATGTCAAATGTTTCTGACGCCAGAAAAAGTTCGATTCGTGGTCAAATTTGTTTAAATGCAATTGGTGATTTTGTATTATAATTAGTTTCAAATCATTTTTTCAAACGTCTAGTCAGATATAAATCAAACGTCAATTTCGTAACAAAGATTTCATCTACTGCCTTCATAAAGACAAGATTTAGTATGGTGATAAAAATTTAATAGTTAATTAGAAAAATTTCTTCTGGTTTTTTTCTTCATTAAAATGTTGAATGAAAGGACAACTCTTTAATGCATAATATCGATAAAATATTTTTATTACTTTTTCAACAATTTTATTCATTACTATCATCACGCACGTTTTTTTATATGTGCATTTACCTGAACGATTCCCTAATACAAAGGTCACCAATCTATCACTCGTCGATTATTCAAAAGAAAGAAAAGCATTCTCGTCAACTGTTCAACATCATCTAAGCGTCCCTTTCTTTTCCTCATTCATTAGTACAATATAAATGATGTATAGATATATATAAATGCACATGTTCAATATTTCTCTTTTTAGAACCAATAAAAAATCACCACAAGAATTCTGGAATGGCACACTTGTAGATAATTATAATTTTCTTATGTCAGAAGAGCTAATTTGTCGCTGTAAAGTAAGTTGAAAACAAAATAGATTATAAACAATTGTGAGGAAAACATCTTTTTCTTCTTCTTCTTCTTCTTCAGAGTTCCTTGGACGAACCATTTAGTTCATTAAATGATCTAGCTGTTCATCACGTATCGTATAATGAGTTGGAAAAGCAATATGTTGAATTGTCAGATTGGTGTGCAAAGATTTCGGATGTTATTAAAAAAATTTCATCAAATACTTTGACTTGTTATCTTCGACAAGTAAAGGACAAAAAAATTTAGAAAAAGAATTCCATGAAATTTTTTTTTCCTTTAGAAATATTATGAAGACTTATATGAACAAGGTCTGATGCGTTTGCGAATGTTTAAACAATATTCAAATAAATTAATTCAACGTTTTCCCGATTTGCATATTGTTATAACAAATAAAATAGAAATTATTTATAAAATATGGAATGAACTTGAAGCACGTTTTATTGGATATTTAGATGAAGACTTCGATCAAATTATTCATGGTTTACTTTTTTTTAATGAAGTCTTTTGAAAATATTTCATTTTTGTTTGTTTTTGCTAGATCTTCATGATGAATTACGTTTATTTGAAGAATGGATTAATACAATTGAAGAGCAATTAGAAAGATTTAATTCTATACGAAATGAAAAGATATCACCAGAAGACATTCAAGATCTTATGGTAGGATATTTTAATTTTAAGTCGACTTTCTCTCGTTCGTTCGAAAGAAATTCTTCAAGGCTTTCGCCCATTCATGCTTGCCGTATAGATTCAAATAATTTCTATTAAACAAACATATTTCGACAGATGAAAACCTTTCTTTTTTAATATTAAAAAATTTCAACAGTACAACTTTCTGCATCTATTTCTCGAAGTTCAATTTTCAAATACAACACTCAACGTTTACTTCTATACGGTAGTTTTGTGTTCGAGTCCAGATCATTTTTATGCATATTTTGATTAGATAGAATTCTACATTTTCTTTCTCTCTCTTGAACAAATTATTGATGCAAACTTTATTCTACACTGAAACGATAGACTGATTTTAGAAGTAGTTTCTTTCTGAAATGATCGTGTCAATGTTTTACTTCTGACGATTCTCAGACAGCACAGTTTTCAAAGACAAAAGAATTTCCAGTAATATTTGATCTGGGTTTCTTCATAAATATTTCAAAAGTCGTGTTCAGATTGTAGTTCGATTTCAGTCTATTGATTTGCAAGAACTTTCTAAACAAAAGTACTTCATGATTTTCAGTCAATAGTAAATTATGACTAGTCAATAAACATTGTCTAGTTTGAGAAATTCGTATCTGTTTGTTACGACGATATAATCTTGAAAAAGAATAGTTCGTTAAACAAACTCTACTGGTAAGGATTTATATGAGTTGATGCTAACTAATTTAGAAAGTACAAGACGAAATCAAATCAAGAAACAGTCGTGTATCATCAGTTATTGAAATTTGTGACCGTTTAAAAGCCGATTATCTGCAGCAAATTGAACAAATTCCATTTGACTATGCAAGCGATCTCGAAAACAGATGGCATCAAATTTGGATACATTCAGTTGAAATTCAATGTAAACTCGAAGATAGATATAAAATACTGAAGGTAAGACGCTTTGTTTTGTTAAAGGGATTCATGCAAGTTTATATTAGTACTATTACTCTTTTGATTAAAAAAAAATGTTAATTATTTATTGATGTATGTGTGACATACATAATTTTAAAATGATAAATCAGAAGTATAATTCGTGCCAGTTACCCTTTCTTTTTCTCTATAACTGTTATGCATTCTGTGTGACATCAAGATTTGAATGGCACGCACGTCCGCTTACGTATGACTTGTGAATGACCCAACTGCTGTCGTCACTGTACCTTAATGATATTATCTTCTATTGAATGCTTGTTCGTTTATAATTACTAACTTTTATATATTATTACAGAGTAGACTTCAGATTATAAGAAGAATGACCTGTGTGTGTGTGTGTGTGTGTGTGTAGATGTTCAATTTTCTCTTCTACTCATTGAAAAAGCACAGTTCTTTCATAAAGATATATATAAATGTATGTATGTATTATTGTACTTGAAAAGTCAAAAGACTGCAACATTTTTTCCTTCTCATTCTGTTTGCATGCCCTTTCTTTCTTATTACTCATTGTCTAATAATTTCAAGCTATATTTATTCGACTTAATGAAAGATACAAGACGTTTCTCAGTTGTAACGACTGTCAATTCAAGTCGATTCAAGGGTCATTTAGAGTAAGTTCTTGTTCGTTATCGTTCACCTTAGGAAGAGATGGAGAATAGAAATGAAATTAAACATACATTAGAACGTATGGTAGATGTAGATGACACACTTCAAACAGGCCGAAAGAAAGAGAGAGAGAGAGAGAGATGGAAAGAAAATGACAGTAAAATTGTCCTTTCTCGCGTAAATTATTGATTATTACTATTCGTTACGATCGAGTAGGTCACTAATAGTGAATGATGAACCTTCTGTTCCTTGTCTTTTGTCTAAGAATAATTCACAAGTATCTAGCAAGTCCGTTTCTTTTGTTTAAGTATATCTATCTGGTGCCCCCCAAACAAATGATTGACCTATATTTATATTGAAAAAAAAGAGTAGAAAAGATATTCATCTAACAATCGGATGTCTATGTGTCAGCTTGTTGTTTGTCTATTGGCATATGTTTTATTCATTCATTTTAAGTTGACCCCTTTTTGCAGGTAAAACAAAGATTGTTACAGAGAGCTTCTTTTGTTTTTTCTTTGAAACACAAAATCGCTTTGATAAACAATGAAACAATAATCTTCTCAATTTTCTCTTTTACGTTTATGTGCGTGTCATCACCATAAGACACCCTGTTCTGTTTTTTTTTCTTCTTAATCGTGTGCTAAACTCATCGTTCGTCTATCGATGGATAACAAAAGAATGAGTAGTATACTATGTATATATGTTTAAAAAGAAAATTAAAGTCGCGTCACAGCAGACAGTCCCAAGAATTGGATACAAGTGTAGACGAAAAGAAAAATTGAAAAGTAATTTTCAATTGACGGACGTCTCCTCTTGTTTCTCTTTCTATTGTTCTGTACTAGAGAGAATCGTGAGCATTGCCATAGATTTATATCAACACTAGTGCAATAAAGATTAATAGAGTTGTCAAATAAAACAACATAGATTCTTCGATGTGACCGTGAGAGTCGTTATTCTGAAGTGTGTTCCTTGTTAGTAACGTAATTTATGATGCTTCGTACATTTTCCGTATTGAATTTGCACATTGCAGATTTTTATACGGTTAGTCTTTCTTGTGAATGCAAGTACGCTACCATAGTATTCAGCTGATTTGTACGTAGATGTTATCGCTTGCACGTTTGTAGACATATGAATAAAAGATTGAATGATGATAACAGTATAACGATGAAGGCTGATATAGCAGCTTGTCAAACGCAGAGAATGAGAATAGTAGAAATTGAGACATCGATTACATAATCATCTTTTTCTCTTTTCTACTCATAATCTCGAATTTCCCCTTCTTTTCCTTCTATACTAGCTCTCGCTTAATTGAACGTTGTATGTCCTCGGAGAAAAAAAGACAGTTGATAGTGACAAGAACATCAGTAATATACACAAGTAAAAATGAAAGAAGGAAAAGAGACTTGAGTAACCTTCAATCATGCAATCGTTAGACATTCATCCAATGTTTTTTTTCTTCTTCTTTTTCTAGCATTCAGCATCTTTTCCTTTAATCGACGACGACGACGACATAATACCATTCAATTCAAGCGAATACGAAAAAATTTCTTTAACTTCATCAAACAATACTAGTGTAGATTATGTTAATTCTACTTTGATTAATCGTAAACGTTCAAGATCACCCGATATAAATATAAACATCATTAGTATATCATCGAATCCAAATAGAAAAATGATTAAATCTAAACGGCGTAGATCATTAAGTTATTTACCGAATCTTTCACCTTCAAAATTATATTATTCATTAACAAACATCAATGACTATGATGATAAAATTATACGAAAAAAATATAAAAAAACAACATCAAAATTAGACGTTGGCTATGCCAGTGAAGATGATTATGATAGAAAGCCTATTTCAAAAATAAAAAAGAGTCAAAGTGATAATGCAATTCGAATAAAATTAAAATCTAATATTCTATCATCGTTAGCTCAATCTTTACCATTGTTTGCACATGTGCATCTGTTACCTAAATGGTGGAGACATTCGATAACATCTGCTTATGATACATGTTCTAATCCGGACATTGATATGAGTATTGAAGAAACGAAAAATACAACAATGAAACCATCTTTACTTATGTATAGTAAAAAATATACGAAAATAAAAAAATATATCGAACAAAAATCGCCTTTGAAATCAAATTCCTATGATGCAAGTACAGAAAATACAGATCCGGAACAATCAGAAAATGATGTTGATGTTCTATCGTCAGATTTAGTATCTTTATCACCAGTTAATCATTATGAAAATTCAGATTCTTTACTCTACAATCGATATACAACTACAACAACTACTGGTTATTCATCAGACATTGAACTTGAAACTAAAACAGTACCATCGGAAATTGAAGATCAACCATTATTCTTATGTACAGGTTAGAATATAAAACATATGTTCAAGTTATGTTTTATCTTAGAACGAGTTTAATTCAGTGACGTATTGACTTTTTCAATAATAAAAAGAAAAGTGAAAGAGTCAATACATTTACTGCCCATGAGCATCGTAGTAGTATAGATTACATCGTATATTTATTCTCTCGTTCTTTTTATATTCTCAATAGATGAAATAACTCAAATGAACACTCATGCTTCAAGTTCACCGCCGCCTATAACTTCAAACGGTAAAAACTATTTTGTGTTTCTCTTGTTCTAATTTTAAGACTTTACAACATCAACAATTATTTATTTTAATTTAGATGACGAGCCATTGAATGCAACGATGAATAATGATAAAATCGAAAGCTCCGAACCATGTTGGGATGGCTATCAAGTAGCTCATATTGAAATATAAATTTTAGTGTCAAAAAGATTTCTTTTTTTTTCTCTCACGTTTAGAACCCTCTTTTTTATTCATTGAATCCTCATGACACAGATTCAATGGAAACAGCACTTAAATGGGATGATCAATTTTTCGAAATCGATCAACTGTGCAATACGACATCCGATGATGATATACACGTTCATCATGATAATATCATTCGTCCTTCTCTACGGGTAAAATATAAAAATCATTGATTCACTTTCTTAATAAACCTTGAAATCAATTTCAGACAGAAACCTTAAATTACTCTCTGAAGGCAATGCCAAGGATTGATTTCTTCTTCCTTTTTTAATTGACGATAAAAAGACCTTCGATAATTATTTTGAAAGAAAATATTTTTTATCCCTTGAGATATTTGTGATAACATATCTCTAATAATATTGCCATTATAAATAAATTATTTTTTTCGATATGGTCATGCCGGCAGCATCTAAGATAAACATAAACGTAAAAATCTTTTCTCTACATGAAAACTTCAACTGTATCATAAGAACAACAACAATGGAAATAATAACAATAGAAAATCATTTACGTTAAACATATCGTATTGAATATCATTTCAAGGCTATCTACTATATTATCGTCCTGTACACATATATACTGATAAATAACAAAGGGCAACTGTTCATTTTGTTCTTCATAATTTGTATCATATTTAGCAGAAAAGCAATGAGCCAGACACATTATTCATATGCATGATAGATATGAACCAATGAAGATAGTTTCTTCTTTTCTTTGCAGTGCTATTAGGAAAAAATGGACAGAAGAATGAAGATGAACTTTCTGCATTTCTTTTTCTTTTCTTTTGTTGCCTTTTCACTGTGCGCCCCCAAAAAAAAGGAGAAAAAAAATATTTTTTTTTCTACAACAGGTCGTGCCATTAGTAATTGCAGATGGAGAGTAAAAAAGCGACGAAAAATATTGCTCGATGTGCGTTTTCTCTGATTTTTTTTTCTAAATACAATTTATTAAGCTTCTTTATACAGCTCATTTCTCGCTTAGATATATTAAAATATGCCCAATTAGTGATATCGCTCTATACGCTTCATCGAATTCACACTCTTTAAATCTATAGCTCCGTTTTCTATTTTATTTATTAGACCGCCTTAATACGAGGTATATTATATCGATACTTATAAAAAAGAATTTCCGTCATAATGAAGATTACTTATTATTTTCGGCCAACGAACACTAACGATTTAGATTTTAGCCTTTTGTTTTTTAAATATAGCTGTAGGGCTGCTTATTGAATATTTCAATATATTCGTCATTATTTTTTGTTTCATTAATGAAACTAGAGATTACAATTATTCACACCCTCCGGTATATAACTATTTCATTGTTCATTATATTTAGAATAACAATAGTTCATCATTATCATTAATAACAAGTGTAACAAACAAGCAACAATTTGATTCAGATTCTGATCTGGATGATTTTAATTATGTTGTAAACGAAAGTGAACGACAATTATTAAAAACACGACAAAGTTTAGAAAAGAACAAACGACAACAATCACAACAAGAATCAATAGTAAACGATCGAAATCAAAGGAAATATGTAGGATGATTTGTTTGTTTAAATTTTTATCTTAAATCATTCATTTTCTTTTGATTCTCTCAAGGATGAACTAATTCGTACATGTGACACAAATATTCAATGTTTAGAAAAAATTCTAAATAATCTTCATCAGTCAAATAATTCTCGACTCAACAATACACAAGCTATTGAGCTATTGCAAAGTAAGCGAACTCAAATAATAGGTCATGCTGTTCACTTGAGTCTTCTCTTTTTCTTTTGTTTCACATAAATTATTTCGTTCAGTTCCATTATCATTAGATAGAATGTCAGTCTTTTGTTTATTTAACTTCTTACCAGCGCTATACTTCCACTTGACAATCAATAGTTATTCTCTTCAATCAATTGAATTAAATATGCGTCTATGCATCATTACAATAGAGTACATATAGCTTAATGTAGTCAGATGCTGACGATCATAAATATCGATACCATGTCGATCCGATTACTATTTTCTTGAAAATGATGGTAATTGTTCAAGATTTAACTGTCTGATGAATAACCTTGTTTTTCCAATTAATCTAAACGATATGTGTTTTATTACTTTTTCGTGCACAAATAGAAAGAGATGTTTTAATCATGATCTTTTCTCTTTCGTTCTTGTTTGCATGCTTCTCTTTTTTTCCCTATTGTGCGCGATACATACGTATATGTGTATATATATATATATAAACACATATAGAGTGAAGCAATGTCCTTCGACAAAGTGAAGAGAAACACAACTGCTACTATATCCTCATTGTCCTTAACGGCTAAAGAGTGAAAAAGAGAAAACGAGAGTGAAAGTGAAACTTGTACACGTTATTTCTTCGTTAAAATCAACAGCACAAGTCTATGTAAGTTTCATATTGTATTACATCATAAAATTGAATGTTAAGCCAGTTAAATTTTTTGATCTGTTAGTTATATTTGTCTGATGATTATTGTCGGCATCGGTAACAAGTTGCTCCCGTTCTTTATACTTCGCATTCTTCCCCTTGTCACATTTTTATTTAATCTTCTGCCCGTTGCGATCATAAATCTTATTTCACACCATACGAAAAAATGCCTCCGCGAATGTATATGTGTACATAAATTGATGTGTCACCATTTTATATGCATTAGATGAATGATCATCATATATTTATCTATATAACTGACGAGAAGTTTGGTAATAGGAACAATATAAAATAGATAATATACGTAACAGGTGCAACCGATATATTTCTTTTTTATATAGAAAATATAATTTATTGTTTATCATATTTCTTTTTGCAGAATACTTGTCCGATTGGCATCATATGAGAGAACAAGTTTTTGATGATCGAACCCGCGCACGTCATTTATTACATATATCACAAGAAATAATTAAATTAAAATTACGTATAGACGAAGAATTATCTCACATTAGCACCTCTTTGAATCATTCGTGGTTCGACATTAATTCAATAAATCAATTAAAAGATCAAATTTCGTATGAAATTGATATTGAAAAAGAAAATCGTCAAGTAAAAAACAAATAAATTTAAAAATAATTAAACAAACATTATTTTTTCTTCTTTTAAATAGAAATTAATAACGTTTTATACTAATTTGCATCTAGTTGAAGAACATTTAAAAGAATATCTAATGACTTATCCGAATGCTTCATCATCATTTCGTATCGACGAACAGTTACATAGTAATCGTGTAACACTTGAACAATTCACAAATAAGTAAGAAATTATTTTCTAATTTGATTTATATTATTTTATCGGTTTTAGATTGGATTCATATCGAAATCAATTACGTACATTAATAACAATGATTGATAATCTTTCGCCTATTGAAAATCATATTGAACAAAAATTAACTTCTATCGATTATCCAGTAAATTATTTTATTAAGAAATATATTTTTTTGTTCTTTCATAAATATAGACTCAAACTATGTTTTTTTCTTCCTGTATCTTAGGGTGAACTTCAAGAATTACAAGCATCAATTGATAATTATGAACGAATGATTCCGTTGAATAATTCCTATTTAATCATTAAAAATCATTGTCAATATAAATTAGATCTATATAGAAAAATGCTTAATGATTTTATTCGTAAACACGAAAAACATGTTTCATTCGATAGCCCGATTAATATTAATAATAATAATTCTACAAATATTAATTCATCAACGTCATCATCATCATCATCATCGACTCCACAAGTACAATATACATATAGTTCAAGCGATAATTTTCGCAAGAAAAAAATGATCTTCAATCAATACAGACAGAGAGAAACCCAAGATATTCAACGTAAGTTTGTATTAAGCACGTAATAGAAAATTTTCCGCTGATTATTTCGTTTCAATCAAACAATCAGAGTCATCTATCTGTGTGTCACGTATTCGATTAAAGTCGACACCGCAAGGTGAAACCAATCAATTTTTTTCCTTTTTTTCTCGATCATGCGAAAACAAAACAGATTAAGAACGACCTTTTGCAATAGAATTGGTTTTAACTATAGAGCTACATAATTTCTATTATTTTTGTATTTTTCTAGAAACCTGTTCAACTAATAAAACATACAATAACAAACAAAGTACAACATCATCTTATATATCTGATGATTGTAAAGTTTTATATATAGAAACAGTTATTGAAGTTCCAAAACCCGTTTTTTACGAACAAGCAACCAATACAATATCAACAACAAATACAGAGTATCATCATCACATTCCTCATAGTCAACAAACAATAGCATCAAATCGAAATAAATATTTTATGGATATAACAAATAAAAATCAACATAGTGGAGATTCAACCGATGATGATTTATCTACTCAACCGGTGAATTTATCAACAACAATAAATCGTCATCAATTGACTGAAGATCATTTAAAACAACACGGTGATAGCGGAATAGAACTAGACCAAACATCATCATCATCAACCATTTATAATCAACAAATATCGAAAGATCGTTTATTATTTCCATCAACAAATAGAAATTATGATAAGACATCTCCGTCAACACTTGTTCGTCGTATACAAAAGCAAACAGCAACAAAAATTGAAAATCTTCATTCAGATAAAACTCTATTAATATCACCTGTGCTGAATTCAACTCAAACGAATACATATTGGAATCGTTTAAAAAAAAAATGGTTTCGTTCACTTCTCATTGGTCTTCTAATTTTATTAAGTTTATTTCTTGTTTATTTATCTGGGCTTGATTCATGTTCACGATCTGCACTTATTCAAAATGTTTGTCAAAAAATTATTTGCATTGAAAATGAAGGATTACCGACTATTTGAGACAATGTCGATTATTTGCTTGATTTCTTTTCTTTTTGTCACTGAGCTTGTTACTTTGTATGCCATCTTTTGTATAGGATTTTTTTGACGTGTGTTTATATGTATTTTTTCTTTTTTGTTTTTTTTATCATGTGCTTTTGACACAGAGAGAAGTGAGATTTTTTAAGCATCTATATATATATATATGGACCATGAAGCCGAGAAAAATATAGCAAATCAAGAATATTATAGATATTTGGTTGTATTCAATAGAAGAATAAAAGAAATATCAAGAGGTTTGAAATTCTTTTTCAAAGAAAGTTTTTATCAAATTTTGGATTTGAGTTTAGTTTAAGTAAATCTCTCTTTTTCTGTTATTATCATAAAAATCAGAGATAGAAATAAAAAAAGGTCTATAGAAAATAGAAAGTATTTAAAAACAAGTGAAAATGTTCTATAGAACATAACACAAGTAGAGATCAATACTAAACTGATATATAGAAAAGTTGAAGCAACTAGTTTTCTGCATGTGTTGATAATATGAATAGTGTTTTGCATTTCATCATTGTTCAACTAATGTGATAATAATAATTATATTTCGATAGGAGTCATTGCTTATGATATATGACATCCACAATAGAGCTATTTGACAGAGAGAAAAAATGTTGATGAAGGTTGAAATCGTATTTTGCAGAATATATCAAATAAATCTAAATTTACAGCGATTTGCAGGTTTCTACATGTAGTCTGAAATCTTATGATTTCAACATTTTCTTTCATTTAAATCGGGGAAGGCTGGTACTCCCATCTGACTGTAACGATGATTCTTTTTTGTTATTATGACAAGGTACTGTGTGAATCTTCGATTACGTTGAAAAGACATTATTCTCAGTGTCACATATCGTGCTGATTCAACTAATTCACATCATCGATTGAGTCATGCTTTATCAATTTACCATATAATACCGTACGAAAAATGTTGACCGATAAGACATTATCATTAACATGTCCAGATAATGCATGATTGATGGATGATACCCTTTCTCCCCAATATTGGTATAGCTGTGGTTGTCTTTTAGAAAATAGACTTTTCTTCGAAAGCATTGCAACATAAGATACTTCACATTGAGAAGGATAACAATATTTACAAAGTTTATATTTAACTCAGAAGTAATGAACTGCTACCAAAATACTGCAGAAACTAATTAAGTAAAACTACAAAAGAATCAACGCAGACTATGCATTTGAACTTTAGAACTCAAAAACTGCTCAGAAAGAATTAATTGATATTTTACACTAAAATACGAGCGAAGCCGTTAGTCATGATCGATAATCGATTTTTCAACCATAATAGCATAAAACTGAATTATTAAAATGCAAATCGTTTCGTTCTAGATGCATGCATCATAATCTCAATGAGTATTTTGTAAAGAAAAGTCCTCTAGTGATATAAAATATAATGATTAATTTTTAACATAAAGAATACATTAAATAAAAATTTGAAGCCTTTTTCAGCTAGCGCAAAAGTTTGGTTTTTAATCAATTATTCATTGTTTCAAAAAGAAAAACTAAAAGTCACAAACGCATTATAATAATCAACATTCTATTTCATGATCTATCTTTAACCAAAAAAAAAACGAGATCATTTATTGCTGCTGTACTTTTCTGCATACATGCGTTGAAACTCCATCCATAGAAGATCCTCACGTTCCCTTGTAAGCCAATTCGGTTGTGATGTAGACTCTTGCCCCTTTGCTTTCATTGAAGATCTTGTTCGTCTTTCAATTTCACGTAGATCTTCATACAATTTGAAATCGGTAAACCAACTATGAAAGAGAGCGTCCTATGAAATAGAAAGTAAACGAAAAAAAGTTTATCTTTTCTTTTAACTAACATTTGGGTTCATGCGTGAATCCAGTTTTACAACTAATAGATGATTCGATAAGAGATTAATTGCTTCGTTTGATACTGTTTTCCATTGTGGGCCACTAAAAATTGTTTTCTTATCACGAACAATTTCTTCGGCACGTTGAGAATTTTTTTCATCAAACGGCAATGTACCTGATAGGGCAGCGTATAGAACAATACCTACACTCCACATATCAGCCAATCGATTATAACCTTCTTTGCTATGATAAATTTCAGGTGCATTATAAACCCTCTAAAAACAATATTCGAAATATAAACAAGAAAGTTTTCATAATTTTTTTTTCTTTATAGCATACCGTGCCAACATGTGTCTTGCGAAATGAATGTTCGCCAATAATTCTCGAATAACCAAAATCAGCTAATTTAACTAAAGGAAAATCTTGATTCGGATTTTTTACTTTATCAACTGATTTATTGTTGGTCGCATGTGGTGCTTTAAGGCATGTTACAAGAATATTATCACATTTAACATCAAGATGACCACACTCCTTTCCATGAAGGTATCTCAAAGCAACAATAACTTGATAAGTAAGCATTCGACATATATCTTCATCAAGACAGCCTGTTTGTGTACTAGTTATATAGCTACATAAATCTGTCTCCATACGTTCGGTAACAATACAAACGTCAACATCACGTTCAAAATACGCTTCAAGTTTGAGAATATTAGGCTAAATAAAGAATAATTGTCGTCATACAAGAGAAAAAGTTTTTAATCTGAATTGCACTTAAGCAATAGAACTTCTTATTTTAATCTGCTATCTTTCGCAGCATATAATACATTCTATATCTCAGTTAGAATCAGAATTTTGGTGTGATGTTTTTGACTAGTTTATGGAATCATAAGTAACTAATTTTTTGGTCCATATGTACAGTTCACTTATATCGCCCAGACGAGTTCCTAAGTCAATAATAGTTGGAAGTTTGAAGCAGAATAAATTCCACAAAATCATCGATAAGAATTTTATTCAGTATGGTTTGAATGAAAGCATAGACGAAGGTACGTGTGTGTGGCTTTGAGTGTACGTTGATGTACGAGGAATTCTTTCTGCTATTCATTGTCGCTCACATCCTCACCTTAATGCGAAGTAGATCCAGATTTAAGTTCCAGTTCAAAAAATAGTATCGGGTTCATCTATCACTATTTATAGTGTTTTTCGTATAAAATTTGTTAAAGTAGAAACTAATGATTTCAATAAGTCAATCGAATTATCTACTTGATGAAATCATCTATTTAGTTACATAGTTACGTTTTATTCATATGAATCATAAAGATTCTTATTATTTGTGATCAGTCAAAAGCTAATTTATAGTTTCCACCACATCGTATGTTTATTTTTACGTTAAAGTTATAATCTTCGTCTTTCCTTAAGTTTATTTTGATTGTCACGGAGATCTAATTCAATTTTATTCAGTGAGCCTACTCGAAAGCTTTCAAATATTATTTGGTTTATTAGCTATGATGTCTATTCGTTTAGTTTGAAACAACTTCATTTTAAATCTTATTTTGTATCTAACTTTTATGCCAGCTTACATGATTAAATTTGCAGAGATTGGTAATTTCTCCATTTATTTGTCGAATAACTTGTTCACTACAATTAGCTTTCTCCATAATTTTAACTGCTACTTCATGATTCGTTGATTTTCTATAACCTTTCATAACTCGTCCAAATGCACCTAAAACGAATTGGCATCAATACATGCTACATAGCTTAACAAGCTCATACCTTCTCCAAGTTTTTCGTTCGTTAATCTATAAAATTCGTGTAGGTCTTTGCCTTCATTGCCTTCGCCAAACGGTGTTTTTGCATAAATACTTTTTCTTTCACTCAATAAAGGTAAAGTGTCTGGTTTTTTGTTTGAAACTACTTCAGTTGCTGAGGGTGCAACTGAAGCAGATTCCACACTTGGTGATAGTGATGCTGTTGTCGTTATTAACGTTTCTCGTGTATAACGTATCGATGAATAGAATTGAGCTGTTTCCATTTGTAAACCGTCGGTATCAGTTCTTTTCCCTACGCTTAACACCATATTGTTTTGTAAATGAATTTCGAAAACATCGTCTCGATCAGGCATTAAATGTGTCAAGACGAGATTAGAGATATCAACTAATTGTAAAACTGTGTCGGCGTCACCTGCTGAAGATAATTCTTGTTTTGAAACATTATCAGCTGATAGATTTGGTGATATACTTAATACATTTGTTGTAAGACAAAATAAATATCGTTGACAAAAATGAGTACCACGAATACATGCAGGGAATATACCTTTATCAATAATTGCATTAGGTAATGTAGATCGTGCAATGTCTAATGGTCCACCTATGGATAGTCTAAAAATAGGTACAGCTTCTATGGGTTCATTGGCTTGTTTGCATCCTGAATCGATAACAGATGGATAACGAAATCTAAGTGGCGATACAGATGAAGATGGTTTTCTTTCTCGTTGTGGAATATCAAAATTGGTTTGTACTGGACAATCATCGAGTAGAAATGATGCACAATCTTGATGAAACGTCATACGACATTTACGACAACGAAATCCTTGCTTGTACAAGCCAACAATAAACCGGGAGCATTTTGAGCAATTTGTAGGTTTATTTAATTGAGAACGGTATAAATCATGAGCATTCCGACTTGTTTCAGCCGGTGCGAGCACTATTTCAATTATGGAGTTCTGTTCAATATCTGATGGCTGCATAACAGGTACCATTGTAAATTCTGTGACGAGAATTCGAAATAAATAGATTGTAAAACTTCCTGTAAAATATTCATTTTTGTAGCTAGTAGCAAGAATACGTAACCAACTTTCTGCGTCTTCGTAAAGTCGTTTAATGATTGAATTGCACACATCATTAATGGGATATTCGATTCGACGCTGTTGAAAACCAAATTTTAGTATAACTGATATTTTGTCGGCACGAAAACTAGGATATGTAGTCACTGAATGCATCGATGGCGCAGAAATGTTTGATGGAGAAGCCATTCGTTGCGTAAGTTTATTGAAAAAATTAAAATAAAAACTGTGCAACTATTCGAAATTTAAGACCGTTGATCGATATATTTTTGTAACTTTCTAGCTGTCAAATGCCTTTTTGATTCTTCGTTTCATATTCCCCTATATACCTTCGTGTTTTTTTTCTTTTTTCTTTATTTTTCGTGTTTTCATTCTTCACTACCGTTTTAACGTCATCGTATTTTATTATACATGTAGATGCGATGGACAGGTGAAGTTATTACAACATAGAAATCATCGACGTTACCATGCTGTGATGTCGACATATTTATGCTCCTACTTACGTGAAAAAAATCTAACAAAAAAAAAAGAACGACGATGAGACGAGAAATTATAAAAGCGAAAATAAAGAAAAAAAAATCAACGTCACGATAAGGCTCTACATTATGCTATTTTGAAAAATTTTATTCGCGTGACTTTAATTGACTCATAATGAGGCTTGTCCTTTTTGATTCGTACTATTTTAAAATCGAACCACGACACATGAGTTACTGATAATCACCCTATAATAACATAGATAAGTTTTGGATGGCGATGAGTATCATGATGCTAGTAAAAGTCAGCTTTGTTGAATTGAAAAAAGAAAATGTTTTTTTGTTATCCTCTTCTTTGGTTTACTCTCGATTCGTTCCAAATTGATCAAGTAGGTGATGCTTATCTGAAATGTTTGTCTCAATTCGTCCCTTCTCCATTCGTTCCTAATTAGTTAGTCGTTAAGCAGTAACGTTTTTGTATCTTAGAGCTTTATTTTAAAAAAATACCAATATAGTATGAATAATACTGCAGTATAAATTTCTATTTTCACTTTTTGAACAGCCATGTCTTGACAGCACGATCACATTTTATAGCCAATTGAACATCGCTTAATTGTTTATTCTTGTGTTCTTCATGTAGCATAACGAGTTTAATATCGATTTGATCGTAAATCTTTTTGCGTCTTCGTACTTGAACCTGGCTCTCTTCGGCAACATGATGTTGGTATTCATGTTCTTTGCGTAACGTATCTATATGACGATAGAATCATTATACACCAGCTATTGTAGAAGGGACAAATTGAGAATCAATTAAGAATTGTATTTTTATGGAAGGGACGAATTGAGAAAAGCATTTCAGATAAGAATCACCTACTTGATCAATTTGGGGCGAATCGAGAGGATACCTCTTCTTTATGTAGAACATAATCAGCATCCATGATATCTTATTTTTGTATTATGAATCGAACAATTGGGATTGAAATCATGCTATTGTTTTGTGATTTTTGAAATGAAAATGATCAAATCAGGTCCCAACAATTATCTATGTGACTCTGCTGAATTTCAATTTTGCTGTAGATAGTTTATTTTGATTGGCATATTCTTATCCTTTATGTTTTCATTTGCACAAAACTATACTTTTGACTTTAATTAAACATAGAAAAGAAAAATCAAATGCGACATAGTTCATAGTCTAGATTTTATTTTTGGACGTTCATTAGACGAAACGTATACATCTAGGAATAAGCTAAAAGAAACCAGTACTAGATCAGCAGATTCTATCAGATGGAAATTTAGTGTACATGATGCGATATGTACGAAAAAATAAAATCTCAAATGATATCATTTAATGCATATTAACATTTATTCAAGCAATGTTATAATATTTTATTACATCTATCAAATAAGCATTGTGTTTAACACATAATGCCTGTCGTCTCAAAAGTGTCAATCACAATTACGTTAACGCGTCAATTGATTTATTAGTCATATAAATCATTTCATATTTTCATAACTATCAATAAAAAAATGACTCAAACAATCACGACTAACTGGATACGCTTTTTTAAGCACGCATTCAGAGAGTACTCCGTGCACACGTCAATATTTCTAGTCATGATTATGATTCTAGATAAGTCGTTGGCCACATTTCATCGTGAATGTTCTATTCAATAACACGCTGAGTGAGTTATTACTCGTAATTAATAGTATCGTTCGCTTTAGAGAATATATCAGATTATTTAACCGTGCATTATGAAATATCCTACGATAAAAAGTAGATCTAAGCCAGATTACATCTACTTTTCTCTCCTTCTAAAACAGCTCCCGCTATATTGAATATCATAAATGTTCTCAATGTACCACTAGTACTTTTTTTAATGCTTTAGCATATTTGCGTAGCCTTTTTCAAAACTTCTATTGCATCATCCAAAAAAAGCAACATTCAAGAAATGAATTAATGCTGATGAAACTAGGTTACACAATCCAACGAAAAACATGAGTAATAACATGGGTTTGTCCCGAGCAACTCTGAGTTTCATAAAATGAAAATGAATTGTCATGAGTGTTGTAGGCGTTATATCTCGATTTATTTATTTTCAAATCATATGAAAATCAAGATGTAATTCATATCTCGACATACTAAAATGTTATCCAGCGTTAGTTTCTATTGAATATATTTTAGCAGCAAGTAGAAACACAATTATATAATGCGTCCAATGAGATTGAAGATATCTTTTATTTCTCTGTTTTCATTAACTGATTGTTTAACATTATATTATAACTATTAGAAAAGTTTTTGCGGCATCTTTACTTAATTACATGAAATAAATAAAAGCGTGCTATACTAAATTTATTTGATTTATGATTTAACCAATCAGTTATCTGTCGCTTTTTGAATATGTCATTTGCTTGAAAGAAAATAAGTACATCTTTCACTCTGCTACATGAAATGCAAAACATTTAGTTATTTTGTGTTAATGAGAAATCTAATGAAAAGCGAAGTTCAAGATCAATTCATGTGCTTTCTTCCGTGCCATTACAAGCCTATTTTTATTTCAAGTCCTTCATACAGACGTTCATCAGCAAGACCACGCTCGTGATTGTTTTCAATGGTTTAAATCCACTCAAGATTCTAATGCTAAATGAATGACCTTTGAGGATTCTGATTCCTATGGATCTAGTTTTAGATAATCTGAAAAAATTAATCTACAATTTAAAGAATTTTATAAACACGTTTACAACGAAGTGCCAAGAAAAATATGGAGAACGTCACATATTCTCGTAACAGCAAGAAATTTTCAGCAGCTCAAATACAAGCTACATGATTCAATCCAACTATACGGGATCTGTGTATGCTCTTCTGAGAAACGTATGTCGCGTCTATAGATGAGGCACGAGGGTTGCATGAAGAATAACGCTAAAGGTGATCATCGCCAGTAAGTCTTTTTGACGTACTATGGCGTCATCGGTTACCGGCAGAGTGTGGGGGAGTGAATAGGATAGCCATGTGCTCATACCCATACTGGCACACTCACACCGATGCATTAATACCCTCAAGTGTCCCAGGTAGGGATGTGACAATACCAATACCATTTGGTATTGGTGGTACGGGTATTGTTCACAAAGTTTTTCCGTTAATTTTCGTAGAGACAGCATCTGTTTGAAAGCGTCTCGCTTGTCTATTTTGTAAAGATGTACTCAATTTTTTCACAATTAGATCGTCGGAAGATTAACTATATTCTCCGTTCGGTCGATGAATATTGATTTTTCGTTAGCAGTTTTGTTGTGGTATTAGAAACAAGTGACAAACTTCTCCAGAAGCGATAATCGCAGGTTTCTTCTTTTATTAGCTTTGTTCAACAGCGAATAAAACTGTGCCTCACAATTCTTTGCTCTAATTTGAAAACACATTTTTCTGGATGTGTCGTAGTCAAAGTGAATTGAATTGTTGTCGATAGGGATTGTAACAATACCATTTGGAGACACATAAAGATTGCCAATTTTCACAATGACAATCTACCAATACCAATGCCAATATCCCAATATCGTATTGCAGCGGCGTAACCAGGTTTTTTAGACCATTGGACAAACTTTTATTAAGTCAAAAAAAAATCATGAGCAAAATTGGCAAGATTTTTATTGATAGACCAAAATTTTTTAACCCAGCAAAGCATTGATAACGTAGAAAAAACACCAAAAAAAAATGAGATTCTTTTAACCTAATATATAGGAAAAAAATCTCAGATTTTAAGCCTGCCTCAGATTTGCTGAGTTAAACATATTTTATTCTATCTTCAGTCTCTACTTATAACATTTGGTTTTGAAATTTAAACACCAAAACCAGGGTTGCCAGCTGTTCAGGTCCCAAATGGAGTACATTCGTGAGGTACGCAGTTTTCATCTTTCACACTGGTCATCGATTGCGGAAATCAATTTCGAAAACTATTTTCAATCAGGAAAGGGCATTCTCAGTCTTTCGTTTTGCTATAAAATCTAGCTTTCAAATTGAAATCTTTATTTTCTAATAAATATGTTCACAATAAAATTTCATTTTGACATACATATATTCAATTCAATCATAATAAAACAATGCTTAGTCAAAGCGAACCTTCTCGATTTATATTTACACTAACTGTTGCACACTTTTTTTCGAAACTATTTTTGTTGACTTTTGGCACCTTTTATCAGTTGCGGTTGTGTTTGAGCAACAGAAAAAAATCTTCACATGTCATAGTACTATTAAATCTGATTTTCAATTCAGCAGCTATCGTTTCATTCACCGTCAAATTGCGACTGGCTGTCCATGCGCTTTTTCTTTGACTAAAAACGCCTTCAACAAATGCTTTCGAGCAAGGAATTGAGTACACATAAGAAATAATTTTGTATATTTCAATACACATTGATTTCGACTTTACAAGAAGAAAAGCCCAAAATTGATCAGGCCGAAATTCCACTTCTCTTTCATGATTTTCGGTCGTCGGTTTGTGAATGGGATTATCTTCATCATGGAACTCGTTGCATATGTCATTGTTGAATTCTTCATAAACATGACCATTAGCAGCCAACCAATATAATTGACGGCTCACATCTTTATCAATAGTAAATGTCGGATAAACAGGCAGAAATTTTCTTTGTTTCAACCAAAATATGGATGATAGTAGTCGTAACATTGAAAAATGCAGATGGGGTACAAAATGCGTACCTCAGAGGTACAATTTGTTTTGAGGTACAAAAGGCTCAAATGGGGTACTGTACCCCCAAGTCGGGTACGGCTGGAAACTCTGACCAAAATCAAAGCGACTACTGTATATTTTTACATCAAATTTCAATATTTGAAAGAAAAGTGATAGCTTAATAACGAATTGCCACGGGCGGATCTACCATTACAGCTAACCGGCGAGGACCACAGCCTTCATGAAATTTTTTCGACTTTTTCCAGCAGGAATGAAACAGAAAAGAACCGTGTTGCCTCAAATAGGCTTCAAAAAATAATTTTTGACCGGGAGTACCACCCCGTTACTGAGTTTCTGGATCCGCCACTGTGAATTGGGTCGTTTTCCAGTTGCCATGGCTTATTATTCGTTTTTTAAAACAGAACAAAAGAGAACAACAAAATTATAAGTGTAAGTGCGCAATTTTATATGAGCATATTTATTCTTTCTTTAGACTTCTTATAATATAGTAGCGCGAAAGAAGAGACAAGACGGTAAACTGGACGAGATAGATTATAGTTCAATCGTTTTCTCTCATGTCAGCATTTTGAGAGAAGATAAAAGAAAAGAGCAAGTATACATATAGATATGTATGTACAATTGTGAATTATTCATTTTTTTGTTCTTTTTTCTTATATTAATTCTTCATAAGAACTAGTAAATGGTACATATGCGATTCAAACGAAAGAAAAAAAAGACAGTAGCTAGTTTATTCAAAAATAAATAATTGTGAAAAAGTAAAATTTGAATGGGCAAAAATTAACTAATGAAAATTACAATGGGCAAGGCTCAAAATGAAATGAGCAATTGTCCATTGCCTCCCCCCCTCTGGTTACGCTGCTGCTGTATTGGTATTTTTCACATCCCTAGTCCCAGGAGTATCTGTCTGGTGGCATCTTTTATGGGATCGCCGCCATCATTGAGTCGGAATTCATTGTAATATAAATCTTTTTCGTAATTATCTTTATGCGAATTAATATTTCAAATCAATTTAAATCTATCATCATTTTAGTCAAATTCACTAGGTTTTTAATTTATTCAGTTTATTATCAGAAGTGTGTTTATTGAACATTGACTGCGATTTAATTCATACATTTAATAAAGAAGCATCAAAAGATAGTTCATCAAATGAGTAATGTTTTATCCAGAAGAACTCTATCAACGCTTAGATCTGCTTCTTTAACGTTGACTGTTTTCTATGCATTCTATTGTTTAGGGTTCGAATGGTGTATACCTACATTTATGTGAGCCCACCAATACTTAATTCAAGTTCTATCTTCTCACATATTTCATACAGAAATTTAACATAGTTGTCATTTTTTATAGCATAATTCAGGTAATCTAAAAGAAAATCGATTTGTCAAACCATTATAATCAGATGAATATGTTGAATCTATTTTGTACTTCTGCTTTTTAAAGCATTGCAGTTTCGATAAGATATGAAGATGCGCCACCATTTTCTGCCCTGCCCTGTCCTCATGAACTAGTATGCGTCAGATATTTAACCACTCAATTGTGATCATTCGTTGAATATGACAATGGGTTGCGTTCCCTTGATGGGTGAAAATTTTGGTAGCCATGATGAATGTGAATCTCTTACGATCAGCAAGCCTTTTTCAAGGTTATTTACTTTTTATTCACAGTTTGAAATAAATGGAGACTTCCAGCTGTGTATTGATTTGATGATTAATACTATTCCCATTGTGAAAATATGTTTTGGTCTACATAAAATATTCGATTTTTTCCCCATGTCACTGAAAAACGATGTGGCATTCATTCTGAGAAAAACTGATTTTTAACGAGTCAAAATATTTACCGTTTATGCTGAAAATGGGACAGAAGAAATAATTTCAATTTTTGTAAAAACAAAATATTTACCTTGGAACGTTACCTCCTTGAAATTCGCTTTGTTCGTCAACAAGATACTGGCTTTAATAATGTAAAAGTGTATACTCAACATATTTATTAACCGAGTTTGTCTATCTAGGTTTCGGATCGCTCTATCATGTAGTTGACTTACTGTCTGACTTCTATTTAAGTGTATCTTCTTTCTTTCTTTTTTTCTTCCCACAACATTTGGAAATTTCCAACATATTTGCGTGTGCATACGCTCGTTCTTGATCAAATATACGTCTTTTTACTTTCATTTTTTTTCTCAAATAATATGCTCTTTTTGGATATTCTCTCATCGTGTTAAAATAATTACTCTTATTTGTGGTTAATGATAGTATTAGAATTATGTTTAAAATGAATTTATTCAAACTTTTAAACGTTTTTTAATTTTTTAAAATCTCATTCTATTCTCTTTTTCTCTTCAAAAATATTACCTATAACTAGTTATTGTTTTCGAAGAGATTCTAAACAAGCAAGCAGAAACCTCTCTTTGTTCATTCAATATTACTTTCGCTATACACGTAGTAGTACAAAAAATATTTTTAGGACTCTTTCTCAGACAGAGGGCTAAGTTCCGCGCAACCCTTCGCTGAGGGTACTTTTAGTAAACCAAGCATTTCCTCAGATTTAACATTGTTTTTTTTTGGGGGGGGGGGGGGGGGGAGTGAGAA